TGTGATCGATTCCTCCTTTCTAGCCCCCCTTCCCTCCTGGTACCGCCACTGTCACCCCTGGTCCTGAGAGGTTCATCTGTCCTAGATTCCCCGTTTCCAATTTCCATTTGTACCACTGTGCATCATGTGGTCTAACCAGGTCTGCAAGGCAGAATTGGGGTCCTGGTAGTTGGGGGGAGGAAGTGTTTAAGAACTAGAGGAAGGTTGTGGGTTTCATTATTGCTATACTGAGTATAGCAATTGAGTATTGAGTACCCTAAGTATATTGAGTACCCTAAGTGACTTATCTCCCCACTACCCCTCTGCAAGGTATGTCCAGTTGTCTAGAGATGGGCAGAGTCTCCATGCTATTGTTACTTTTATTTTAGCTCTCCTGGTGGTTGTGAAGTGGATCTCTAGGTGGTTTTGATTTGCATTTCCTAAGTGACTACTGGTGGTTGAGCATCTTTTCATGTTTATTGACCATTTGCATATCTTCTTTGGGGAAATAACTATTCAAATCACTCCCCCAATTTTTAAATAGGATATTGTCTTTTTGATACTACATTACAAGAGCTCTTAAATTCTGGATACTACCATTTAATCAAATATGTGATTTTAAGTATTTCATTGTATGGATTGCCTTCACTTTCTTGATAGAGTCCTTTGATGTACAACAATTTTGAAATTATATAAATTACTTTTTTTCTTACACATAGGCCTGTGGTGAATTCTTAATTTCACTAACGTAATATAAAGTAGCAGAGTCCATTTTCATTCTTTGTATGTGAATATCCATTTGTTCGAGCACCTTTTGTTGGGAAAATTATTCTCCATTCATTGAGTTATCTTGGGTTAATTTTTGAACTCTAAATTATATTCCATTGGCGCTAGTGCCTTACTTTGCAGTTATTCTGCCTCTTTATATTTCCACAATAATTTTTGTATAAGCTTGTAAATTTCTACACACACACACACACACACACACACAAGACCAGCTAAGATTTTGATAACAAATTTGTTGAATCTGTAAGATTAAATCCAAACCTAGTGCTCGCTTCGGGAGCACATATACTAAAAAATCCAAACCTAAAGCCAAATACTATATTCATGGATGGTTAGATGATTATTCATGGTTCCAACAGCATTGAGCTCTCATCAATGACAATCAGGATATAGACAGCGGGTGTAATGCTGCCTTTCCTAAGAGCAGAAACCCATCTTGAGCTGTTGATAAGCATTATACCCAGGGCCAAAGAACTCTTTGTTGTCAAGTTTTACACATAGGATACCTGCCTTCCTTGGGGTACAGGAAGTGGAGAGTAATTAATTAACTTCATTGCAAAAGACATTTATTCCGGACTTACTCTCCCTGATCATTTTTCTAAAGAAATTCTAGTGACACCGGACAACTGACTGCCAGATCAGCAGCTAAACCCACCAGGTCTGCTCTTTGGGAAGAAGATGAGGCTACCTGCTCCTATAAAGATTTACAGCCACCAAGACCCTATGTAAACCCTATGAAAACACTCAATAGCAGTGGGTTTGGTTTAGCTTTAGATTATTTCCTAACATTACATTATCTGTATATCGCTTGACTATCTTATCCATGGCTATAGTATTCCATGCAAGATTATTTCAATTTACAGAAACACATTTTTTAGAGAAATGAGGTAATGTTTAACGTTCAAGGGTTTCACTGGCACTTTTACTCTGTTACTCAGAAGCAGTGAGTTTTTAAAGATTCACCTCACCTGAGGGTCAACAACAATTTTGAACTGTGAGATGCTACCTGCAGAACATGAGATATACTCTGAACCAAGGACAAGTACATGGAGTTCTTTTTCCCTTTGGCCAGAATATACAGTTCTGGAATTCTAGGGTTAGAACTTAGAATGAGGGTTCTCATAATATAATTACTGACTCACCAAGTATTTGATGTT